CGCCCTAACCGGTGAGCAGGATGTTCGAAAGCAACATAGTCCCCAGCGCGATAGCTCTGGGCGCCTCGGCTCACGCGCCCTGCGCACGACAGGGAGGAGACGGAAGGGGCGGGCAGGGCAAGCGCCGGCGGCCCAGAGGTCCTCGAGTCCTTGCACGGCGCTCCCGACCCACCTCCGCGGCCAGTCGCCGACCATTGGTTACCTGGCCTTCTATGACACGCTTCCATAGCATGGTCGGAGGCAGGGGCACAACTCGGGTTCGCGCTTTGAGTCAGGCAGTGCGGTGGATGCCTAAGTCACTCACTCCTGTGGTGGTCCCCGCCTTTCGGGCTGCGACGCGGAAGCGCCGACCACTCTGGAAGGTCCCCGGGAGGCGGGACCTCTGGGAGGCTCGGCGCTGAGCCCGAGTAGGACCAGGTGGCTGCCCTTCCATCTAGAGCAGAACTTGGGTTCTTCCGCTCCTCTCCATCCACGAGGGGATGCAGCTCCCGCAAAGTAAGGCCGCCGCGACTGCGGTTATTCTGTAATTATGTCTTAGAGACGCGAGTCCAGCTCTGCCCTCACGAGCTCTCGTCGCTCCTCCTCCCGACACGCCCATCCCATCTGGGGATGAGAAGGATGGGGGTGGAGAGCCCCGGCCTGCTGCAGGGACATGCCATCTTAGCCTAGCTCCCCGCTGATTACAGGATTACGTTGGACGAATGTCTGAGTTTGCTATGCCCTGTGCAGTGTGTGGGGTGGTGGTAGGTCTGCTAGGAATAGTCTTGAAGGTCTCTCCTACCTCTGACGTCTTATTTCAGGAACCTGGCATCAGGGACAGTTATCTGCTTTTTCAAGGAGGTAATTGTCAGTGTTGTCTTCAAGAAGCGGTTAGAGTCCTGATCATAACCATCTCATGAGCGTCTGCATCTCTTATTTTGAGCTCCCAACTATATTTCCTCGAATATATTTTTTCTACTTACTACCCTTTTTTTTGAAACTTCCAAGTCTCTAATCGTGAATGATTTTAGAGGGAAGGATGAACGATTTGTTTTCTAGTGTATGGGAGTGTTTACAGGCTACGTGGGCCTCCAAAGTATAAAATAGTCCAATAAACTTTCCAGTGTATAGGTTTGTAGGCCTTAAAACAAAACTTTTCTTGTACCTTACTTAAGTTTACATAAGCATTTAAGAATTTGAAAACACAGTAGAAAAACAATGTTGCCAAGAGTTTTCTAATAACATGTTCGAAGAAGGAAAACAGTTATAGAAAAAATTTAGAAAAAGATTTAAAATTTTTGTCCAAAGTAAGTGATTAGTTTAAATTCACTATTTTTCTTTTGTTAAATTTTGGAAATGAAGAATGTAACTAATTTGATATAAAGAAAACATTAATTTCAGTATAAAAACTCAAAATTGTCTAATTTTTTCTTAATGACAAAAGATAGGTGCACAAGT